TTAACAAATACATACATTTGTTGTTGTTTTGTTTTCTTGTTATGTCTTCAGCTGCCTGACAGAGATCTCTGCATTGGTAAAAATGGTGAGTCTTTCTTTTCTCATCATTCATTCATGAGTTCTATTTATAATTTGAATTTTCTAGCTAAAATTACAATGCTAATCAATCTTTTTATATTTTGGAATGAATCCTGAAAGGACTTTGCAGGATTACAAACAAACAAACAAAAAAAGTGGTATTTACTAAATGGCCAATAATGAATGTAAATTCAGTTGTTATGCCATAATGACAAGCAAAACATACTATCTTTTGGTTCATTAAGAAAATCCATTCATTCTAATATTCTTTCATTTTTTTTTCAACGTTTATTTATTTTTGGGACAGAGAGAGACAGAGCATGAACGGGGGAGGGGCAGAGAGAGAGGGAGACACGGAATCGGAAACAGGCTCCAGGCTCTGAGCCATCAGCCCAGAGCCCGACGCGGGGCTCGAACTCCCGGACCGCGAGATCGTGACCTGGCTGAAGTCGGATGCTTAACCGACTGCGCCACCCAGGCGCCCCTCTTTCATTTTTTTTTTTCCAAAAGCTGAGGCAGAGACTGAAAGAGAAAGAGAAGCAGTGACTTTTCCTCCTTACCAACACTCCCATATCTTCCTTCAGTTTCTTGATTCCTCTTCCATAAAGTTTTTATGGAAATTAGCTTCTCTTTCGGGAGGACATTTGGCCACCAAGAGTTCGCATCAAGAATTTCACCTACTTTCATGTCAAAAAATAACAGACGTCAAAAGCTCTCCCTCCTAAATGTATTCCTTTACCAGGTGTGGTAAATGTGTGACTAATGATTACTGGTTCCTGCTGGGTCTTGCTTAGTTTGGTAATTAGCTCTCTCAGCTGCCTCATTGTAAATGAAGGGGTCCTAGTGAGTCACTTAAAGAGGCTGAATGGATAATCCATCAAGTAGTCTTTTTGAAAAAGCCCATTAATAGGGGAAGTCACAGGAGGTGGTAAAAAAGGTTCAGCCTGAGAAGTTGTCAAAACATCATCTAGTTTTGTTGGCATCAATATTTTCACAGTCAAATCTCAACATCTGTCATTTAGAGTTTTTAATGTCCTTCCTATTCCGCCTTAAAACTGATAACAATAGAAGAAGAAAGCTTGGAGAGTAAAACATACATGTGCCAAATTTTGGAATATGTCTTTAATTGTAGCAGCTATTAGGCAAAAAAGTGTATGTTGAAAAAAATCTTGCAATCTGAGCAATATATTAGAAATAGTAACAAAGTTTGCAATGCTGCTTTTTTTTCAAAGTTTATTTATTTATTTTGGGAGAGAGAGACAGAGAGAGAGGCAGGCAGAGGCAGAGAAGGAAAGAGAGAAATTCCAAGTAGTCTCTACACTGTCAGTTCACAGTCCTGATGCAGCTCTTGAACTCAGGAACCATGAGACCATGGCCCAAAATCAAGAGTTAGCCGCTTGGCTGAGCCACCCAGGCACCCCTGCAACCCTGCCCTTAAAGGACAGATGATTATACTTGTGTCTGAAAAAACTATCAATTTATGTATCAACTTATTGTTATAAGTCTGTGCTTGTTTTATTTGTTATTAACTATTTATAGTATTTTTTTTATTTCTGGATTTTATGAAAATACTGCAAATTTTCTCAGTGGCATTGGAGGTGGAAGATAATCCACATTAGAGGAAAAATTGCACTGACAATGTTAAACAGAGCAGGAAGATTTTATTCAAGACTAATGCAATAGGGGAGAGAGGCCGGGGCGAAGTCTGAACTTAAATTCACTAACACAGGTAGTGGTAGGGTTTAATGTGTGGAACAAGCTGGTAGGAATGTTCTGTAGGACATCAGTCCATCTGACTCTGCTAATTCACTCTATCTTTATGACAGGAGGCAGTTTTGCAAGTTGGAGCAAAGCATTCATGGAACTTAGGCTTCTCCTGTCTTACAGAAACTAGGAGATGGGATGCTACCTCCTTTCATCATTATATCCCAGGTGGTAAAACTGGCAAGAGGCTTTTAAAAAAATGTACAGACATCTCAAAGAAGCAGAGAAAAATGTAGATTGGTTAAAGCAAATGCTCTAAGAAAAGGGAGATTAGGACCTCGTGTCAGGAGGAACTGTCTAAAATGTAATTAAGTTATGGGAGCATTAAGGCCATCTGGGTCCCGAGCCTAAAGAAGGGTACACTAGGGACTTCGTGTATGTTTTCAACTTTGAATTAAAAATGTATCTAAGGAAAATATGAAAATATTTTAAGATTTGTGAAGGCTTTGAGATGTTGAATACACTACTCATTTATAGTCATTATAGTATTAACTATTCCATATGCTTACAATATTACAGATATTTAATTTTATAATTTCCTTGTAAACTGAAATAAGTAACCCTATTTTGATAAATATTTTGTAGTCATAAACCATCTCTATATACATTTATATTATATTTAACTTGGTCACATAGTATCTGGGGAACTTCATTTGTCTATTTGACATTTAGAAATAATGATTACTAAGGGCAATTACTGAGGCAGCTGTGCCCACAGCTCAGAGCCTGGAGCCTGCTTCAGATTCTGTGTCTCCCTCTCTCTCTGCCCCTCCTCTGCACGCACTCTCTCTCTCTCTCTCTCTTTCTCAAAAATAAATACACATTAAAGGCGGTTATTACGTTTTGAGTACTTTCTGTGGTCAGCGTCTATAATAAGAGTTTATCAACATTGTCGCCCTAAATTATTATAATACATATTATTCCAGATTTGCAGATGAGAAAGAAGTTAAAGCTTGTCCAAGGTACAAAGGTAATACAGAGAATTAATTATCTCTCTTACCTTCAGCTCTTTTGACTGCACAACACCCTGTCTCCAGACTCCAACTTCTCTCTTTTGTAACACCTGCCTTTTCCATTGGGCATCTTAAAAATATATCTCAGCCCAGTCAATGACAGAACACATTTAAATTCTATGCAGTTAAATTATTGTCATGCTTCTTAATTCTGAATGCATTCTCTGTCACAAAAAAGCATGCTGATGTTTATCTTTATAACTTTTAAAAAGAATTAAATTCTTTTTCTTAACCAGCTAAAAAGGCCTGAGTGCATACTATGGAAAAATTGAGTCCAAGTTGAAAATGACACTTAAATCTTACTGCTTTATTAAGTAGGGCAATAGAACCTGGTGTTATTTAATGAACATGAAAATCATAAATCTCAAATTTAAAACACTCTAACATTTGGAAGACTCCAGAAAGACATGTAGAATGGTGGGGCAATTAGCATAAGATCCAGACAACCTAACCTTTTTATATTAATGCTGTGGACATAGTCCAGGTAAGACTTAAAGCTGCTGTCGATATTCTTGTCTTTTACTGGTATAGCATCAACAATTGTGTTTAAAACTGTTTCAGAGTCAAGTATTCTTTCTGTGAACAACAACAAAAAAGGCTTGGCTCTCAATTGTATGAATGACAAATATTTGTTCTTTCATTTGCTGATATAGATAAGTGAAAAGGTGTGTGAGTAAAAGCACTGAGTTATTGTGACATTAGTTGTTTGATGCAGCTATCAATATTCAGCACTCTAACTATTTTTTAAAGTGTATTTACTTATTTTGAGAGAGATGGAGATGGAGGCGGGGGGGGGGGCGAGTTGCTGAGAGCACAAGTGGGGTAGGGACAGAGAGAGGAGAGAGAATTCCAAGAAAGCTCCATACTCTCAGCACAGAGCCTGACGTGGGGCTTGGACTCACGAATTGGGAGATCATGACTGAGCTGAGATCAAGAGTTGGCTGCTTACCCAACTGAGCCACCTAGGTGCCCCAGCAAAGTAACCATTTTAAAGCTGTTAATGACTGACTGAGGATGATAAGCAGTTTATGTTGGCATGCAGCAATCAGCAAGATGGTGTTTACTGATGAACAAATACATTATGTATTCTCTGAAATGAAAAGGCAGATACTAGCAGGTTGTATGCATGCTGGAGAATGCATCACATAAAAATATGGCTTGTGAAATGGAAGTAAAATCTGTTTGATAAGCAGTTAGAAATGTGGATTCTACATCTGGCTTAGCTACCTAATACTAGCTCTTGGATTTTCAGTGTCCTCGTTCAGAAGGCAGCTGAATGCAGTGATTGAGAACATTTCAGTGATCCTGAGTCTTAGTACCTGCTCTGACATTTACCTTTAAGCATCAGTACTGGCGCACCTGAGTGGCTCAGTCAGTTGAGTGTCCGACTTCAGCTCCGGTCATGATCTCATGGTTTGCCAGTTTGAGCCCCGCATTGGGGTCTGTGCTGCAGCTCAGAGCCTGGAGCCTGCTTCAGATTCTGTGTCTCCTTCTGTCTCTGCACCCCCCCGCCCCACACACTTGCACTCTGTCTCTATCACTGTCTAAAAAATAAATATTAAAAGAATAAATGATAAAACAATAGTCATTTTCTTATAGGGTGGCTTGAGAATTAAGTGAGAATTAAATGAGATAATATGTTTAAAGTATTAGACACAGTACCTCCTATAACTGCTGTCAACAAATATTAGCCATGGGGCACCTGGGTGGCTCAATTGGTTGAGCATCTGACTCTTGATTTTGGCTCAGGTTGTGATCCCAGGGTCTTAGGATAAAACCCAGATGGGGCTCCATGCTGGGCAAGGAGTTTGCTTGGGATTTTCTCTCCCTCTGTGTGTGTGTGTGTGTGTGTGTGTGTGTGTGTGTGTGTGTCTTCATCCCTCTCCCCTGCTCTCACTATCTCTCTTTACAGTAATAATAATAATCATAAAAACAACAATAATAAATATCAGCCATTACTTTTTGTAATAGAGATGACAATCTTTGTTCCAGTATCTGCTAATATCTTGCAAAGATTCAAAGATGAAAATGCATTTGCATTTAGTTTGCAATGTTAGGAAAATGTTACAATGTACATTTAAAAAATCATCATTCTTATTAAACCTGTATTTATTTAAAACCCCAACAGAGACTATACCCGCCAACATGGGCCACCTGCGCACCAAAGCCATGAGGAAGGCAGGCTGGGTCATCATTAAGAAACACTGCATTCACCTGGGCAATGACTTCCACACCAACAAATGCACAGGCAAGGGGACCACCATTATTCCCAGCGAGAAGCCACACAATAAGACAGCAGGCTGTGTCACACATCTGATGAAGCAGATTCAGAGAGGCCTGCTGAGAGTTACCTCCATCAAGCTGCAGGGGGAGAGTTACCTCCATCAAGCTGCAGGGGGAGGAGAGAGAAAGGATGAATCATTATGTACCTGAGTTCTCAGCCTTGGATCAGGAGATGGCTGAAGTAGATCCAGACACTAAGGAAATGTTGAAACTTTTGAACTTGGGCAGTCTGTCCAAACCGTAGGTTACCCAGTCTACAGGTGGGATGGATTTCAAAACACCATGTGCGGCCGTTTGAATCTTTTTATGGTGCTGGACTATCTTCAATAAACCTTGGACAACAACAGCAAATAAATAAAAATAAAACGTAAATTTAGGAAAAAGTATAACACAAGTTATTCAACTTTCTATGGGGCCGATCATGTATTCTCTTTAGGCAATGCATCGTGGTTTATGTCAGAATGGAATGGAATGTATACTAAATTGGAACTTAAAGGTTCACTTGCACTGCTAGGAATTTACCCAAGGGATACAGGAGTGCTGATGCATAGGGGCACTTGTACCCCAATGTTTATAGCAGAACTTTCAACAATAGCCAAATTGTGGAAAGAGCCTAAATGTCCATCAACTGACGAATGGATAAAGGAATTTTGGTTTATATGCACAATGGAATTCTACGTGGCAATGAGAAAGAATGAAATATGGCCTTTTGTAGCAACGTGGATGGAACTGGAGAGTGTTATGCTAAGTGAAATAAGTCATACAGAGAAAGACAAATACCATATGTTTTCATGTATCCTGAGAAACTTAACAGAAGACCATGGGGGAGGGGAAGGAAAAAAAAGTTAGAGAGGGAGAGAGACAAACCATAAGAGACTCTTAAAAACTGAGAACAAACTGAGGGCTGATGGGGGGGTGGGAGGGAGGGGAGGGTGGGTGATGGGCATTGAGGAGGGCACCTGTTGGAAGGAGCACTGGATGTTGTATGGAAACCAATTTGACAATAAATTTCATATTAAAAAAAAAAGATTCACTTGAATATATACAATGATATGACCATAGTTAGCCCAGTTTCAGAAATGAAAATCTCTGTTTCTGTTGGCATACTGTGGTCAATTTAGCAGTTCTAATTAAATGATATTTTCTCCCTCACTGTTTATTGAACTGTTACTTTTGTAATTTTCAGCAGTAGCAACTTTAACTAGGACACTTAACTGGAATATTTAACTATCTTTTTGATGCCCCCTTGAGTTTAAAGAGCTAATATCCCTTCTATGGAGACACAAATCCTTTACAATGAGAGTAAGCTGTACTTTCGCTAATAGTTTCATACAAAATATTGAGGAAGAGAGTAGATAAAAGGAAAAAAAATGAGAGAAAAGTGAAATCCTATTTCTTTTCTTGTAAATATGATGATATCTAGAATCACTTGGCTTGATGACCAATGGTGTCCCGTGAGAAATGAATTTAGACCTAGTTCCAGAAGTAATGCAAAACCATTAAAAGATTTTCTCAGAAGAGTGACATAATCTGGGAACTTGACCTGTTATAATCAGAGCCTACCTACACAATTGCCATGGCTGCAGAAAGGCACAAAATTGATGCCTGATCTTCTAAACATTTTTGTAAGAACCAATATACCCCATTGGAAAAAAAAAATCATTATCTTGTTCTTGCTGTCGCTGAAAGTGAGTGAATTAACTCTATTTTTAATTTCCCTCACTTCCAGAATATCTTAATAAGGAATTAAGATGAGTTAATTTAAGTATTAAGAAATAAAGCCATTTGTGGGGCACCTGAGTGGCTCAGTCAGTTAAGCGTCCAACTCTCGGATTCACTCAGGTCATGATCTTGCGGCTTTGTGGGTTTGAGCCCTGCATCGGACTCTGTGCTGACAGTGTGGAGCCTGCTTGAGATTCTCAGTCTCTCTCTCTCTCTCTCTCTCTCTCTCTCTCTCTCCCTCTCCCTCTCCCTCTCTCTGTCCCTCCCCCACTCACACTGTCTCTGTCTTTCTCAAAATAAATAAATAAGATTGCTTTAAAAAAAGAAATAAAGCCATCTGCAAAGACCTAGTAGAATTATTTTTAAAAATCTATGTCATGAAAAACATACTTCATTTCATTCCACTAATGCAAATGACTAGGTTTTTTGAGAACATCCAGTGTATTTGTATTTTCATTGCTAAAACTAATGAAATTAAGAAAATACGTCAAGGCATTATAATTTTCAGCATCACAAACATTTCATACATTACATACAGTAGTGCGATTGTTTTGCCATATCCTTAGATCTGGCCATTCTCCTTTCCTCTTATACAATCGCTATCTGTAAAATATGATCCTGCAGACACAAATATCTGTCCCAGGGCCAAGCGTCTTCTGGAGAAAAGTAAGAAAAGGAGAGAAGGAATACGTTTCAGGGATGGCCACAATTGGTCACACACTGACTTAAACTGTTTTATGAATTAATGACATTCTGATTTCCTCTATATTCTAAGCTGAGAAGTTTTTTAATTTATATACTATAAAATTTGTACTATGCAGTATATTATTCTATGGGTTTTAATAATGCACAAAGTCTTCTATCCACCATAAGAGTCTTGATATAGAACAGTTCAATCAGTCCAAAAATTTTCCCATGCTGTCCCTTTATAGTTAAAACAGCCTTCTACTCAGTATCCTAGAAAACATTGTTTTCCATCCCTAACGTTTACCTTTTTGCAGAATATCATATAAATGGCATCATACAAGATGGAGCTTTCAGGATCTGGCTCCTTTCACTTAGCAACATACATTTAAGAGCCATCCACGTTGTCACATCACTCGGTCATTTATTCCTTTTTATTGCTGCATAATATTCCTTATATTGAATTTACTAAAGGACGTATGTGTTGTTCCCACTTGTTAGCATTTATATATAAAGTTTTCTTTTTTTTTTTAATTTTTTTTATTTTTGGGACAGAGAGAGACAGAGCATGAACGGGGGAGGGGCAGAGAGAGAGGGAGACACAGAATCAGAAACAGGCTCCAGGCTCTGAGCCATCAGCCCAGAGCCTGATGCGGGGCTCGAACTCACGGACCGCGAGATCGTGACCTGGCTGAAGTCGGACGCTTAACCGACTGCGCCACCCAGGCTCCCCTAAAGTTTTCTATATATATTCACATACAGGTTTTTGGGTGAACGTAAGTCTTCATTTTTCTTTAGTAAATAGGTAGGCATGAGATTTCTGGGTCATAAGATAAGTGTACATTTAACTTTATAAAAATGCTAATAAGTGACTCTACCATTTTTCTTTCCCCCCAGAATCTATGAAAGTCTGGGGACTCAGCAACTACACATGCAGCTGGTATTGTCAGAAGAGGTACATAGTAGTATCTTGTTTTAATTTGCAATTTTTTAATGGCTACTGCTGTTGAGCATATTTTTGCGTGCTTATTTGCCATTCTTTGGTGATGTGTCTGTTATGATATTTTGCTGAAATTTGTTTTCTTTGATTTCTTAATGAGTATTGAGTTAGAGAGTTCTTTATTCTGGATTTGTTGTCATAAGTGAAGTTTGCAAATAATTTCTCTGAGTTTCTGGTCTGCCTTTTCATTTCTTTAAGAATGTCTGTCACATATCGAAGGTGACAGACATTTTCGTTGCTTACTCTTAGAAGTTGTATAGTTACGTTTTACATTTCGGGTTATGATCCATTTAACTTTTGTATAATTTGCAAGATATAGGTGAATGTTCTTCTATTTGTGTGTTACACTCGACAATTCTAGCACAGCTTGTTAAAATCGTTACTTGTACTTTTCTCAATTGGCTTGGATCTTAATTAAAGCTCAGTTGACTAGGTTTGTGTGTCTGTTTCCAAGCTCTGTGTTCTATTCCATTGTGCTGTGTCTACATTGTAACCAACACCAATTTTTTTTTATTTATTATAATTTTAGAGTTATTTGTTCTATTATATTGATTTCTGTTCTTCATCATTTCTATCTTTATGCTTGCTTTTGATTTAGTATGTCCATCTTGTTTTCTAGGTTTTTTTTATTTTTTTCTTTTAACATTTATTCATTTTTTTGAGAGGGAGAGAGAGGCATGAGTCAGGGAGAGGCAGAGAGAGAGGGAGACACAGAATCCGAAGCAGGCTCCAGGCTCTGAGCTGTCAGCACAGAGCCCGACGCAGGGCTCGAACTCACAAACCGTGAGATCATGACCTGAGCCAAAGTCAGATGCTTTACCAACTGAGCCACTCAGGCGCCCCCTTGTTTTCGAGGTTTTTAAGGGCAACGGCCAGTTAGCAAATATGGTAGAAAAATATATTTACAGTAAAAATAAATATTATAAATTTTATAGTTTAAGAAAAAGGAAAATTAGTTTAAAAATGACAAATTCCAGATTTTCTGGAAAGATGAAAATAGTTTTAGTTTGTACACGTACAAAAATAGAATTTCATAGATGGACAAAACATATTGAATTGTAGCTACATATATTAACAGGAAATTTTTTTTAAAAATTGTGTAGAATAAAACAAATCCTGGTATAACTGGGAGAGCTAGCAATCAGGGAACTGATCTCCTGGAGTTTGGAAGATCACCAATCCCTAGAGAGGGCTACTGGTGAAATTCAGACGTTGCCACAGCAATGTTTAAGTTAAAGGTCCGGGAATCTGCAGCCTCTTTCTACTTCTGATCACTAGCCCTGAAATCAACAAAGCAGACAAAGAATAGCAGCAGAGAAAGATAATGATAGGTGGGTCGTGTGAAGTCACTAGGGGATTTTATTTTTTGATGAATGAAAGCATGAGAGAGACCGAACACTGGTTATTTCTGTAATACTGTAACAATCCCTGGTATAACACTACTTCATTCTTTTCAAACTGTTGGCTTGGTACATTCTGTCATTTTAGTTTCAAAGATCCCCCTGACACATTTCAGGGTGGTGGTGTTACATAATTCTTTAACATCATCCGATTTGTTTCCTCATTTAGGTATTTACAAAGCTGTGACTCAAACTCCAGTCTAATTAACGTGTGGTATTGCAAATTTATTTCACTTTATCAGAAATTCAAAATTTCTCAACCTAGATCTGTCAAAATCTGACAAAGTTACATGTCAGCATTTGCCTTTTAAATATGCAGCACAGTGTATTTGGATTTTTAATTAGCAATGTGTTGCTTGAAAAACAAACAAAAGTTTATCCAAGAAATTTTGAAAGAGCTCTTAATCTGCTACTTGGCATCACTCCTAAAAGATTAAAATGTAACTGTTAACAATCACATTTTCTCTAGATTATTTATCCCTTTAATTTCCA